GGCACACTTGTGATGAAGTTGGAGATGATTATTCCAAAAATTATTATTCCTTTCTTCTTAACAACAAAAGTTGCCTTGTCTCCTCTTAGCTTAAAGAAGCATATAAAGATGAAATCAGAATTTTTAGAGAATGTAAGTTTAAAGAAAAATTGAGCGTAGTAGAACAAAAAAAAAAAAAAGAAAGAAAAAGAGAAAAGAGGAGAAATTGAGAAAGTAGATATTTTTCAAAGGGAAAAGTGAAAAAGAAGAAGAAAGTGAGATTGAGTAGAATATAATTAAGGATGACTTGATTGTGAGTGAAAATGATGAGAGCTTTAATTACCCTTTCTCTAGTAAGGTTGTTTCACTTTTGTAGGTGTAACAACAAATAATTGATATGAGAAATAGGTCTTGGATATCCCTTAAAGATGCTAAAGAGTCGAGGACAACTCTTTCTAAGGAGGGAGAGAATAGTAGTAGGAGGCAATTCTGAACTTTTACATGACAGTGGTGAAGAAGGAGAAGCCCACCAGAAAATAGGCTCAAAAAGAATATGAGGCATGACAAGAGGTATCCTATGTGATATTTAACTTCCAAGTGGTGCATGTAGAGAAAGACAAATAAAAGATCAACATGCATAGCCCATCCTCATCAAGCAAGGTGGTGGAAGCAAAGGAGAACCAGGTCCCTTTTAGTTTCTTGCGTCCTGGGCCTTGCACCCGGATTTTAATAGCTTAGTTGCAAACACATGGGATACTAATTATGGGCTTGTAGAGAACATTGAATTCTTCACTGAGCAAGCTTAACAGTGGAACATTGACGTTTTTGGGAAGGTGCGAAAAGAGAAGATTGTGAAGTCGACTAGTAGGGGTGCAAAAAGCCCTAGAATCCAGCCCCTGTTCAACAAGTCTTCTCGAGCTAGAGTACTCCCTGCTCATGGAATATGAGAGCATCTGTTTAAGGGGAGAGGTGATGTGGGCTCAAAAATCTCGAAGTGAGTGGATTAAGAGTGGGGATCGCAACACTCACTGCTACCATATGAGGGTAGTGATTCGACAAAGGAAGAACCAAGTCCTCCTTCTAAAAATGACGAAGGCATATGGGAAGCAAACCAAGACTAACTTAAGCGTCTAGCTGGGGACTACTTTTGCAATCTGTACTCTTTAGAGCAAAGCCACCATATAAGATACGAATGCACAAATTTGTTCCCTAATCTTGTAGACTCGTTGGTTACCTATCTTGAACTCCCAGTTACTAAGAAAGAAACTAAACATGCTCTATTTGACATGCACCTACTCAAATCTTCGAGGGCTGATTGGATGCATGCTTTTTTCTTTCAGTCCCAATTGGAAACAGTGGGAGAGTTGATCTTTAAAGAGATCAAAGCTATCTTTGAAGGGGGGCTATTGACAGAAGGTTCAATAGAACAATGATCACCCACAAACTTTAAAAGAGTTTAGGTCTATCAGTCTCTGCACCACAATCTACAAGATTATTACCAAAATAATTGCCAATTGAATGAAGAGTGTGATGCCGTACCTAACCCTCCCTTACCAATCTAGTTTCATAAAGGCAAGGAACATCACCGACAATATAATTATGGCACAAGAGGTTATACATTCCATGAGAAGAAAGAATGGAAAGATTGGCTAGATAGCTATCAAGATTGACTTGGAAAAGGCTTTTGACTAGCTCGATAGGATTTTATACAGGAAACCCTCCTAGAAGCTAAACTCCTGAATGGATTAGTTCACCTAATTATGAATTGCATTAGTTCCTCCTCCATGCAAGTTTAGTGGAATGGGAAGCCTACTCACTAATTTACTCCACAATACGGCATTGGACAAGGTGACCCTCTCTCACCTTACATTTTTGTACTATGCATGGAAAGGTTGTCTCAGGCCATTCACCTGGAGGTAAACAAAGGGAATTAGCAACCAATTCGATTAGGGAAAAATGGACCACCCTTATCGCACCTCTTCTTTGCTGATGACTTAATCTTATTTTGTTCCACCAAAAACTCCCAAGTTAGTCTTGTCAGTAAACTCTTGAATAAGTTCTGCATTGCATCTGGCCATAGGGTGAGTGCTACAAAGACCAGAATCCACTTCTCTAGAAATGTCAACCTGCAAGAAGCTCATTCTATTTTTGGGGAGCTGGGTTACTAAAAAATAGATAATTTGGGTAAGTACCTAGGGGTCCCACTATTGCATAATAGAATCATGAAGGATACTTATCACTACATTGTGGAGAAGGTATAAAAGAAGTTATTGGGATGGAAAGTCTGATCACTCTTACTTGCAAGGCATATAACTCTCATGCAGTTAGTACTCTCTATGATACCATATTATGCCATGCAAACAGCTCGAATCCTTGCGTCAACTTGTAATAAGCTCTAAATGTTAATTTGAAAATTTATCTAGGTGATACGAAGGAGAAGAAGAGTGTCTACCTAATGAAATGGGACTCCATTTGTCAACAGAAGAACTGTGGAGGTTATGAAATTAAAGATATTGAGGTGCAGAATCCAGTATTTCTTATGAAGCTTGCTTATGCGATAGTGAACCGACCAGACTTATTGTGGGTAAAGGTCTTACGCTCAAAATATAGATGGAATGAAAAGCCAAGCCAGTAGCATAAAACACAATGTGGATCTCATCTCTAGAGAAGCCTATGTCCAGTATGGGACGATTTGACTTTGGGAATTGAATGGACAGTAGTGTTAGTGGCAGTCTCACCCAAGAGAGGGTGAATTGGGTGAGTTATAAAAATTTGTGAATTTAAAACAATAAGCTAACGGAAATAGAGAGTGTGAGTAGGAGAGATTTCACCGTAGAAAGTGGACACAGGATTTATACTAGTTCGGTCTCAAATACTTGACCTACGTCCAGTCCTCAGAACACCTTTGAGTATTCCACTATGTTCCAAGATTGATCGGGCTCTTGGTGCCGCAGTACAGTAATTGATACTCTCAATTACTCCCCCTTACTACCCCTAAGGTTACAATCCCACTCAAGAGTCCACACTCTTGAGTTTCACACAAGACGTGATTAATGATAAAAGATACAAACTCTCTTACAGAGTGAATAAATGATAATCACTGAAGCTCAGTGTATAGAAGAAAAGAGTACTGAATGTAACAGTAAATGATCAACAGGGGGTAGCTCGCGTATTCAATCTATTTATTTAATGCTTCTTCGTGCCTTTTATAGTTAAGGTAGTTTAGTAACTGTTAGACGGAAGAGCTTCTAGCTGTTGAGAGTCCGGTTGCGTGTTTTCCCAGTTGCAACGGTTTTCGCCATTAATACTTTTAACAAGGTAGGTTACAGGCTACTTAGATAACTGTTGGAGAGTCGTTGGGTTTTTCTTCGTAATCTGCAATAATACTTTAACTCAATAAGTTTTTCTTTGCAGAGTAAGATTTAAAGCAGAACTGAACAAATGATAAAATGAACATTCATAGTTTACAAGTAGAATCATTCAGTTGTTAAATGTGCTAAGCAATAACTAGACATGCTTGGTCAAAGTACTGATCGATTACTGGTTGATCGATCAGTTATGATTATTCAAATAAGAGCTTTTGAAACAGATAACTAAGTTTATCGATCAAGTGATGGATTAATGATTTATCGATCAAGTGATCGATAAAAGAAAACAGGGACATCATACTGGTATGCAGAGAAAAAGAAGATCAAGATCGCTCTTGATTTTGAATCACTTTAAAAAGATAATTAGTATAAGCATGAAGGCTGAGAAAAGCTTGAATGAAGTAGATAATTGAAATTGAGAATCATCGTAACTGATTGAAGTTTAAACAGAAAAACATTCCATGATCGAACAAATGATTGAACACTTGTTGATCGATCAGGTTATCGATAAATAAAGTGTTATAGAACAGATTTTAAAGCAATAATAATCGAACACTTTATCGATAAAAAGATGATCGATAACTTTATCAATAAATGATGAGTGAAAATATGTTCAGTAAAAAACACAGACTATGTAGGTTAATCGAATAGGTGATCGATTAATGAATGATCGATCAAGTGATCGATAAAGTAGACATAGAGATTTAATCCTGCAAAGTCAAAGAACTGATTTATCGATCACGTTATGTGAAAAATAAGGCAAACATGAAGTGCAGTGATCAATCATATTATTGATAATTTGATTATCGATCTGGTGATCGAAGAACCATGATTTAAGAACGATGTACTGATGATCAATCATGTGATCAATAATTTACTGATTGATCAGGTGATCGATAAATTACTTGGATAAGTACCTGCATGTAGAGAGGGTTATGAAGCAATGTTCGGTCATGTTATCGATAAATCAACGATCGATAAAGTGATCAATCAATGGTGGCTAAAGCAAAACATAGAATGAGTAGAGCACATTACCATTTATCTGTCTTCTCATCGATAATCTGTTTATCGATCATGTGATCGATAAATGCCTATCAGATTTGTATCTCTTTATCTAACTGATGTTCGATCATCTTGATTATAGATCAAGTGATCGATAATTTACTCCAGACTTTTATACATAACTAAGTTAACAATGATCGATCAATTGATTGATTAACACATTATCTAACAAGTTATCGATCAAAGTTTCTGCTAAGTTACTTGATTGTATAGAGATATTATATATTAGCTTATCAATAAGTCCTTGATCGATCAGATGATCGATCAATATACTGAAACACATATTACTTACTTTGTTATCATCAAAACCTTAATCCTAACATTCTCCCCCTTTTTGATGATGACAAAACATATGTGAGGAATATTAACTATGGAGCATCAGATAACAGTAAAATCAAAACAACAAAGGCTCTTGACAGACCAAAGTGAGACAGAAAGGCAATAGAAAGGAAAGCAATTTAACTGATAACGTGAGCTGTCAGAATACACATCAGTAAGCAAATTACACAACTGTTAGAAATCAAAATACATAACAGTAAAAGCATAACAGTAAAAGCAAGAAACTGAATAAAAGAGACTTAAATAGCAGAACTAAACTGTAGAATCCTTCTCCCCTTTTTTGTCAGTATCAGAAGAAGAAGGGGAAGGAGTAGAAGCAATAGGCATGGGCAGTGGAATAGGAAGAGGTGGAAGGTAAGAAAGTGGAGAGAATGGTGGAAAATGCAGAGAAGGAACTAGTTGAGGAACAATGATAAGAGCTAAAGTAGTAGGAGGAGTGGGAGAGGTAAGGGGTACAGGTGGTGAAGTAGAAATAGGAGATGTGGGTATAGGAGAGGTAGATGGTACAAGCTCATGGTGAGAAGGAGATGGTGGGTGAGATAGTAAATCCTCAAAACTAAAAGAAGTGCTGGGGGCAGAGAAGTTCTTGCAGAGAGAGGCCACCATCCCTTTGAGTTCTCAGATTTCTCTGTCAACATAGTTGAATCTCTGAGAAACCTCCTTTTCCAAAACTATCAGTGCTTGTCGATGAAGATCCAAAATTTTGGAAATGCCCTTAAATTTTCTATCTGAGATGTCCCCATGGTCTCTGGCAGTGATATAAACTCTCCTCTCAAACTCTTGAAGTTTAGCTTGAAACATTTCCCTGATTGATCTCTCCATAAATGATGGTCCAGGGGTATGAGAGGGAGCTGCAGTGGATTTGGCCTCATCCTGGGTTCTAGAGGTGCTGACAGCTGGTTATTTCCCTTTATCCTTCTGAGTCATCTTCTGTGAGGGTCTAAAGGGTACAAAGATCCTCATCTTGTTCAGCTAGGTGATACCAAAAGCAGGAACTTTGGTCTTGAGTTCTCCCAGCTCAAAAAGGGCAATGTTATTTACCTGTAGGATGTATGTGGCTAACTGAGGGTAGGGGATTGGTGTAGACTTGGATTTGTTAAGAATAAAATCCTTCATCTCATTATAGATCAAATCCTCAATGTTGATCTTACCCCCATTGATAATCCTAGCCAGCAGCAAATAATCATCTTGAGTCAGATGTGAAAAACTCCTGAATTTATTGATCATGCTCCTCGAGTAGATATAGTAGATTATTCTATAATAATCACACATTTGTTTAGGTGGAAAGTTTAGCTCACCGAGGTAGTCATCACTTTGCATCAAAATCTTGTAAGCTTTGATATCATTCATATCCCCCTCACAGATTCTTGGGTTCCCAGCAACTCATTCAGCTTAGCACCAGTAATGTGGAAGGTTCGGCCTCTAAGTTTGACCCTAAATAATCATCTATCAAATTGTCCTACTCATCATATTCTTCCACTGATTCCATATTACAGTAGAACCGCTTAACTACTTCAGGACAATATTGTCCGCCAATAATCAACCAGTTAGAGTAGTATTACAATGGGTTACTTAAATCTAGATTAATCTATTTGTTTTTCTTCAAACTCTCAATATCCACAGAAACCATTGGACAGAATTTTCGGTTGGCAAAATTTGTCTTAAACTTAGCCAAATTTACTTTACTATCAAGGTTCCTAATTAATAGCTCAGAAAAATCAGATAGGATACCTTCGATAGGGATTTGCCATGACATACCTTCACCAGCTATCTGTTTTCTCTGTCTCGATTATCTGGGGATGGGAACTCTTAAGGCAGTCTCCACAGCTTTCTGAACTGAGGCTCCTTCATCCGACTCTGTTTCTGATTCCTCGGTGACCACTGGTAGCTTGGATTTGGATCGAGGAGATTTTCTCTGAGGAGTGGGTTGCTCTTCGGCTTGACTCTCTCTTATCTTAAGGACTCCTCTCTTCTTCGATGATTCTTCCCTCACTTTCAATCTATACCTCTTCTTAGTACCCGAGGGAGTAGTGTCGCTGGGTTGAGTTTGTTTCTTAATGCTTTCTTCCCTCTCAACGTTTGGCTGCTTTACTCTCGTCATTTTGTGGTACCAAAAGATTCTGACGATTTAATCGGTTCAGCAAGTGTTTCTTGAGTGCGGTGGAGGTCGAGTGAGTGTCAGAGACTGATTCGAGTGGAACGGGGCCAGAAATTTAATGGAATAGTGATTTCAGACTGTTGCATGAAAACAGGGTATCGGTTTTTGTTCGAGCTAGGGTTCGATAACTGACGGGGGGTTTTCAAAGATTGAACGTTATAAACTTCAGAATTATCGATCATGTTATCAATCAATGGATGATTGATCAAGTGTTCGATAAATATGAAGAACACAGAAGAACACTGAAGACAATTATCGATCAAGTTATCGAACAAGCAATTATCAAACATGTTATCGATAAATGTTGATAGAGGAAACACGTACCTAGCCTATTTTATCGATCATTTGATCGATTAACAGGTTATCGATTAGCTTATCAATTAATGCTTACCAAAATTGAATGAAGTGTCTCAAATCCTTGTCACCCCTGATCGATTGTGTTGATCGATAATCAACTTATCGATCAGCTTATCGATAATCCTCGTTTTGACTTTCTTCTTTCTCCTCACATGCTACATTTATCGATCAGTTGATCGATAAATTTTCCCTTTATGGCATCATGATTATCAATGTCTTGATCGATTATTCCATACTCTGTTTACCTCTGTTTTTCTTCGACAAAACATAGCTTCCTGCAAAATAAATTTCTATCCACTCTGATGCTTAAGTCAGTCTTTTAATCATCAAAATATTAAATCTAAAGATTCAAATTTTAGAGATAATATGATATTTCTTACAACTCATTAGGATTTACCATTCCCAATTTTCTTCTAAAGTAGTTGAATTTTTGTTGATCTAGAGGCTTCGTGAAAATATCTACTATTTGATAATCGGTGGGGATGAATTCTACTTTTACATCTTTCTTTTGAACATGATCCCGAATGAAATGATGTCAAACGTCAATATGCTTAGTTCAGGCATGATGAATTGGATTCTTGGACAGGCTTATCGTACTCGTGTTATCACACAGGATTGGAATTTCTCTCAAGTTGATTCTTAGATCCTATAATTGTTGTCTTAACCATAGAATATGAGCACAACAGCTGGCAGTGGCAACATATTCTAATTCTGTGGAGGAAATTGCCACAGTATTTTGCTTTTTCCTTGACTACGACAAAGGCACCATCTGAAGAATTGGCATTATCCACTGGTGCTCTTTCTGTCCGTCTTATATCCTCCATGATCTGTATCTGAGTATCCCATTAGATATTTTACTCCCTTCTTTGGATACTAGATTCCCAAATTCTGAGTTCTGACAAGGTATCTGAGAATTCTCTTGACGGTTTATTCATGTGATTCTTTGGGGGCTGATTGATATCTTGCGCAATTCCCACACTGAATTGAATATCTGGCCTGCTAGCAGTGAGATAGAGTAATGAACCAATCATTCCTCTATATCTGGTCAAATTCACGTCCTTGCCCTTTTCGTTTGTATCTTGCGAGATGGTTGAGCTCATAGGAGTTTTTACACTTTTGGTATTTTCTAATCCATATTTCTTTAGTAACTCCTTCAGATACTTCGTCTGGGATATAAATATACCATTTTTCTTCTGCTTGATTTGCAGTCCCAGAAAGAAATTCAGTTCTCCCATCATCGACATTTCGAACTCCCCCTGCATTAGCTTAGCAAACTCTTGACAAAGATCTTCATTAGTAGCTCTGAAAATAATATCATCTACATAAATTTGAACAATCAAAAGATCTTTCCTACTTCTTTTAATGAAAAGAGTAGCATCCACTTTGCCTCTATTAAAGCCTTTTTCTATCAAGAAATTGCTAAATCGTTCATACCAAGCTCTAGGAGCTTGTTTTAAACCATATAAAGCCTTTTTCAGTTTATAAACGTGATTAGGAAAGTTGGAGTCTTCAAAACCAGGAAGTTGTTTGATAAAAACTTCTTATAAAATATAGCCGTTCAAAAATGCACTTTTAACATCCATTTGATATAATTTGAAATCTTTTATGCAAGCAAAGGCTAAGAGTACTCGTATGGCCTCCAATCTAGCCACTGGAGCATAAGTTTCCTCATAATCAATGCCTTCTTCCTGATTATAGCCTTTAGCTACTAATCTGGCTTTGTTTTTTATGATCTGCGCAGATTCATCGAGTTTATTTTTGAATTCCCATTTGGTGCCTATGACCGGATGATCATTAGGTCTGGGTACCAATTCCCAAACTTGATTTCTCTCAAATTAGTTAAACTCTTTCTGCATTGTAACTATCCAGAATACATCAGATAGGGCCTCATCAACATTGGTAGGTTCAATATGCGAGATGAATACAAAGAAGCACACTTCATTGAACACTTGTCTCTGGGTTTTGACCCCTTCATTGACTTTACCAATGACTTGTTCCAGAGGATGGTCTCGGTTATGTCTCTAAGCCTTAGACTGCTCTAAATTTTCTTGTAAAGAAGGTTCATTTAAATCATTTTTGTTTTCTAAACATTCTTCTGAAGGTAATTTGTTTGAAAATTTATTTAAATCTAGTTTTTGAAAATTTTGAACGATCTCTGCATTATCATCTAGAGGTTTCGAAATCAGCTCAGTTTCAGCAAACACAACATGTATTGATTCTTCAATTGTGAAAGTGCGTTTGTTGAAAACCCTATAAGCTTTACTGTGATTAGAGTAACCAAAAAATAAACCTTCATTAGCTTTAGGATCAAATTTACCAAGATTCTCTTTGTTGTTGTTGTGAATGTAGCACTTACTCCCGAAGATCTTTCGATGAGCCATGTTAGGCTTTCTTTCTTTGTATAGCTCATATGGTGTTTTCCTGAGCAGTGTTCTGATGTAAGCTCTATTGGAGATGTAGCAAGTCGTGCTCATTGCTTCTGCCCAGAACACTTGTGAAATGTCTTTCTCGTTCAGCATTGCCCTTGCCATTTCTGTGAGCACTCTGTTTTTTCGTTCAACAACACCGTTTTGTTGAGGAGTTTTTGGTGCTAAAAAGTTGTGATCAATTTCGTGCTCGTCACAGTCGTCTGTGAATTCGTTGTTTTCAAATTCTTCTCCGTGATCAGACCTGATTGACATAATAGAAATACCTTTCTCATTTTGGACCTTCTTGGCAAAAACAATGAATGCATTAAACGTTTCATCTTTAGAGGAAAGAAACAAAGTCCAAGTGAATCTGAATAGTCATCAACTATCACAAGAGTGTATAGATTTCCACTGAAACTTTTAACTCTTGATGGACCAACCAAATCCATATGAAGCATTTGGAGTGGCCTTTCAGTTGAGAGTGTCTTCTTTGATTTAAACGAAGACTTTGTTTGTTTACCCTTCTGACAAGCATCACAAATAATATCATATTGGTACTGAATTTTTGGTAAACCAATAACTAGATCCCTTTTTATTAATTTTGAAAGTTGATTCATGTTAACATGTGTAAGACATTTATGCCAAACCCAACTTTCCTCCTTTTTGCTACTAAAACAGTTTTCAGAAGATTTTGAGTCAATTTGGAGTGTATAACAGTTACGTCCCTTGGAGCTTTCAACTTTATATTCAACTCTTCTTTCTTCAATGGCAAGTCATCTTTGCTTATGACTAAGCATTCTTCTGAATTGGAGATCACCCAGTTGTTTTTGTCGATACTCTGACTGACACTGAGTAGATTGTGACACAGACCTTCTACTTAGTATACGTCTTCAACCTTCATTCCTTTGTTACTTCCTATCTCTCTAATTCCAGTAATTCTTCCAGATTGATTGCCACCGAAACTTACTTTGCCTCCGTCTTTTGGTTTGAGTGATGTGAACTTCTCAGTATCACCCGTCATATGTCTGGAGCATCCACTGTTGATGTACCATTTGTTTGTTCTGGATGTTTTGAGGCATACTTGCAACAACACAATCATGTTTTAGGTACCCATACCTTCTTGGGTCCTTTTTGGTTAGTATGAGTTGTTCTAGGCACATAAGTATCTTTGGGCACCCATTTTAATGTCCCGTAAGTTCCTTTCTTCTTGTGATAACAAGAAGAGGTTGTATGACCTTTACGGTTGCAATAAAAACATAATGCAAAAGGATTAGAGGAATGATTAGTATTTCTAAAGAAGGTAAGATACGATCGGCCATTACTCTTCTTCTTTCCCTTCGTCTTATCTTGAACAGGATCATATCCTATTCCAGTTTTATCCATCGAACATTGTTGAGCTCCCAAAATCACTTTGAGCATTTCACTACCCTTAGTGAATTTTTCCAAGGTTTTTGTAAGATCCTCGGCCTTCTTTTTGTTCTGTTCACATTCCGTACATACTGGAGGTGGGGCTGTGTTGTCTTTCTGTTTCATTTGCTGTTCCTCTAGAAATTTTATTCTTTTCTTGGAGCTTACCAACTCCTTTACAATTCTTACTAATTCTGAATGTAATGCATTGTATTCAGATTGTAATTCATCATAGGAGGGTTCATAAGTAATTACCTCATCTGTCTCTGAATCTTCATCTTCCTGAGCCACAAGACAGATGTTGGCGGTTTCTTCATCATCACTTTCTTCTTCTTCTTCTGAAGAACTGTCTCCCCGGATTGACATGACAAAGGCTTTCTTCTTTTTGAACCTTTCTTCTTTTCTTTGTCCTTTGTCTTGGACAGCTGGGGACACTCTGCTTTGATGTGTCCTGACTTTTTGCATTTGAAACAGATGATTGGTTCTTTTGGCTCATTCTGAGATGTGGAGATTCTGCGTTTTGACCAAAGCTTCCTTCTGGCCTTGTTCTTGTAGAATTTTTTGAATCTTCTAATGATAAGACCCATTTCGTCATCTTCCGG